ATGAACTTTCTCAAATCGCTTTCAATATGTTTTACAATTTATCAGCTCCTTCAACCTTACTCTCTGAATCTGTTGATGCATCAGCTGTTACTATTGTACTATTACTAAAATTGCTACTTCGCCTTTTATCATTGTTTTGACTCGAGCCTCTCTCAAGGTTACTTGAAGAATCCGAGGGTCTATCAATTATTTCCTCAAAATCCTCTTCATTAAAGTTCCTTTCATTGTTACTTACGCCGCGACGAAATCCTACAACAATATTTGCCCATTCAAAGAACGATAGCCTTTTTATTGACACAATAAAATCATCATCATCATTCTCTTCTTGTTCCATAGATGGTTTATATTTAGGAGGAGTATGAGATTTGAGCGATGATAGCTTCTTTTGGTAAGTAGCTGGAAAACGTTGAGTCCCTGTTATACTTTTTTCTGAGCTGCTGTTCGAACTTTTCTTTTTAGATTTACCCTCAATGACTCGCACAATTTCAGCATCAACAGTTATAACATAAGACAACATTATAACTAAGGCACAAGTAATTGTTGAATCAATAACAAAATGGGTCAAGTCTGGTCTAAGAAAAAGCTCAACATAAACTGAAGAAACTACGCTTATTATAAAAGCAATTGCTAATCGTAGGAAATTCCAATACATAACGGCGGTAAATAAAGTACGTTTCGTTCTTCTGTCCATTTTTGAACTAATTTGTGCTGCATTACGATTTGCTCTTTTAAGAATTTGGACAAGACGAACAGTTGTATATATTTCAATCAACAAATCACAAACAATTATAGTCCAAATAGGAATTCTAGTTGAGGTAAGGTTTGGATTACAGTTTGATAGTTCATCAATAAATGGTTTTGATAGTGCCAGTTGGGTAAGCTAATTTTTTGAAAATAAATTAATTAATATTAGTACCTCTTTAAATCATATGTACATTATATAAGATTATAAGAAATAATTACATTTGCTATTGTCCTTATACATAACAAAGCTAAACCGATCCATTTATCAAATTCACGGTGCTCAATTTGTCTAAGTCGCCATAATAAAAATATAGCTAATGATTCTCTGAAGCAGAAATTAGCAACCCCTGTTGAATAAGATAAACTCTGACACGTAAACAAAGCTATATCATATGGAAGCATGTTAAGTCCAAATACGAACAGTTCGCGAAGTAATCCAGATAAATTAAATATAATCTTTAATATGTTAGACATATTGGATTGGCGGGCCATGTATAATAAGAAAGACACAATTAAGTTATGAAGAAAAGTCATCGTCTTTAAACCAAGCAACCAGTTGTTGAGAAATTCGACCAGAGATAGCTCCATTTTTTAATTTTTTTTAACAAGAGTTTGTGGTTATTTCACGAGATGAAATAAATGAAATTATTGAGGCAATTTAACAGTGAGACAGTGAGTTCAAAATTTTAATTTTGAGGGCAAGCATATTTATGAAAAAAAAAAGGGTCAAAAAAAGGGTAATAAAATAAAATATAAAACGTAAACGGAGTAACGGAATAATATTAAATAACGGAATAATATTAAATAGCGAATTGTATTATAAGGACTTGTTAACCATAAATATTTATGTAATGTGTAAATCGTCACGACGATTGTATTCATATATTTTTATTTTATTGTTCAGTTTTTGCCTTATCCAAATTTAGAATATCATAAACCATGCAATCTTTTGAATTTCCAATTTAGATCCATTGTTGATATTATTTGGGTTTTCTTCTATAAATACTCAGAATATCGCACACAGTTGAAACGAAGGAATTTTTAAAAATAGTTTAGCAGGCTATAATTAAATAATTAAAATTAAAAGTAATAATAAATAAAATATATATTCTAGTCCGAAGGGACATTTGCGGGTAAACTTTCCACATCATTTTTTAATATATAATAATTTATATACTGAGTAGGCTTTTTTTGTCATAAAAATTTTGAATATGAAAAAAGGTTATCTTTAAAGAAATTTAATTTGCATTTTACTCTAACATTTATTTTGAACCTTTATATTGTAATTTGCTTTTTTCATTAAATAAATCTATTCTGTTTTCTTGGCTTTTTACTTTTTACTTTTCAATTGATATATAAATATAATAAAATAATATTATATATTAACGGATGATTTTGTTAAACACAATCGCTTATATAAATTATGTAATTTATTAAAAATTTAAATCTATTAAGTACAGTATACAATAAATTTAAGATATTTCGGGCAAAACTGTCTTGCTATTAGCGAAACATTTTGCTTTTTTAAAGTTTCATTTCGGTCAAATCGTAAGTTCTGAAATCTGCCCAATTTCCGTGACTTCCAAATCCAAAACCTCCAAAATTTCGTCTTTCCCTCTAAACCTGTAGCTTTCTGCCTTTAATGGAAACGTTTTTATTTGTAAATTTTATAATCAACATCTAATAAATTTATAAATATGAGATCATAAAAATTTAAGGAACGAAACCATATAAGTTTACATTTTATTAACTATGCCAACTCTTCCAAATCGATCTCTTTATCTCCCTATAAGAAAAATGATCATTTATCGGAGAATTTTTCCAGATTTTTTTTTATAGGATCTTTTTCAACTACATTTCGAATATCTTATTCTTCCTCTAGATCCTCTTCCAAACGACCTTAATGATTTCGTCTAAATTATTAATAAATGCATCTGTATCTAAATTTAATAATCTATTAATTATCAAATCTTCCTTACCAAATGAATTCATTAATAATTTCAATAAGATCTTCATCTAAGAATTAACCAAAATTTCATGCTTTGCATATAAGCTAATAACATATTTTTCATCTTATTTAACCCTAGCTGATTTTTTCATTTTATCATATAACCAGCCAAGATTATACTAAATCTGTTCACATCCAGCTGCATAGGATGTAAAAGATAGTAGTTTAATTGATAGTTAAACCAAATAATCATTTTTTCATAAAATTATCTTCTATAAAAATCCACCAAAAAATTGGTAAATTAGTATTACTTAAATTAAATATTAATGGATTTTAAACTATATGAAATAATTTTATTTGATTATTTAATACATTAATTCATTTCATATACTATTTGATTTTTTCAATTTTATTTACAATCAATAAAAGTTTCTAAAAGACACATTTTTTTAAGTACTGTTAACGTGTAATTCTTGCGAACTACAATTGTTAGATAGGATGTCAGAATGTTATTTCTTTTTAATTGCATAGTAATCTTAAGACTTTACAAGTTTATTATTACGATTAATTTAGATAAATGTTTATATGAGTATTTCACGATTAATAATTCAAAAGGTATTGAGTAATTATATTTTCAAGTAAGATGTTTATTGATGAAATAGAAAATAGAAATAAAGAAAATAAAAGATATGACAAAAGAAAAAAAAATAAATAAAGAAATAAAGTATTAAACTAAAGTGTAATATGATAGGCCTGTTTGCTTCTGAAAACTACTAGAAAATTAACTTGTCAAATCCTACTTTTTACATGGTCTAAAAAGCTATCTATTTATATAAAATACAGCATATAAAAAGATATAACTAATATGTCTAATATATTGTATATGTCAAATGTATCTGATATGTCATATATGTCGAATCTGTCTAATATAGTCAACTCTTTCTATAGCGAATTTTGATATAATAAATTTCACGATATAATGGATCTACAGTATGGTACAGATTTTTAAATATAGAAAAAACCTTTTTTTAACGATGTAGCACTGCTAGTAACTTTATTAATTATAAAAGAAATACATAGAGTAAAACTAAAAATAAGAAAAAAGAAAAGTACTAGCTATCCCCTATGATTATATTATAAACCCGTTTGAATCGACTAATCATCGTCTTTTCCCTCTAACAGACCCACTAAATGTATATTTAATGACTACTGTTATCACCAAGAAAAGAAAAAGAAAAGAGTCAGTGCTTATCTAAAAATCCAAAAATGAGTTATCATATGTATTTGCCATGTGAAGCCATGTTTCCTAAGCACTAGGTATATGATTCTTGGTTGAGTAAGCAAACGTGAAAGTTGCACCTTTTTAGAATTTAATTTTTTTGGAAATACCCAAAAATTTTTCTTTGACAATCATAAGTTGGCATCGATGTTTCCAAATTTTTTCAAGAAGTTCTTTGATGAAGAATGTTGTGAATTGAGTGACAATTGAAAAGCACTTAGATTTATTGTGAGTAATGGCATGTACAAAGTTTACCAGCCAAGAAAGAATTTAAAGTCTAATAATGCTAATATATCCATCAGTATTTGAAGAAGGCAAGGTAAAGATATTGTCAAAGAGATCTAGGAGTTCAGGAAGGAGAGTCGCTGAACCTGAGGTAGTAGAGGAATAAAGAGACAAGATGTGATTTGGTAAGTGAAATAATATTAACGATTATTGAAGAATAAGCAAGGCATGATCAAAGATACGTGACAGTTTCAGCACCCAGGTTGCAACTAATACAGTTCCAATTTTTATAAAGATCAGGGCGAATTCTTTCCATTTTATTGAGTACAGGAAGTTCATCAACAAAGTTTTTAATCATGAAGATCTTGAGGTGAGCATCAGCGAAAGACATAACCATAGATGATGAATCCAATAAAAGGATGTTCCAAATGAAGAACCAGTTAATATCGTTTGAGTAGGTGAGGAATCTAAGATCTCTATTTCTTTGAAGAGAGAAAAAGTCTTCAAAATACCAAGCATTGAAAAATTACTTGAAGAACTTTCGAATTGAGGATTCAATAGTAATGTCCTAAAATTGCATAGCAAGATTGTGAGATCTAATTCAAGTTAACACGAATGTTATTGCAGGAAGAGAGCGACTATTCTTTGCAAGAGAGTCAGCAATATCATTTAGGGTATTACCATCAAGAGTTTTAACTTTATGTAATGTGACCACAAGGGCCAGAGAATCAATAATGTGTTGAACAAAATTTCAAATAGTATAGTTAGGGATTTTTTAAGAGAGCGGTTAGAGAGTTTACAGTTGATGATGATAGAGTTAAAGCCATGAATTAATGCTTGGCTATCTGTGTAAATGTGAATCTCAGATGATTTGGGAGAAATAAGGAGAGCTGTCATAAGAGTGAACAATTCTGCATAAGTAAAAGAGGGCCAATTTTCAATTGAGACTTCAAATTGATAATATTTGGAATCAGAGTCAACACAGATCCAGCCAATGCCTATTTTGCATGAGTTAGAAGTAAGATTAATAAGTGAACCATCTGTGTAAAAATGAAGGAGTTTTGAAGCAGATAGTGCAGCTTGGAGCGAGAAAAGTGTATGAAGGTGTGGGAAAGAAGAAAGTAAGGTATAGATGATATCAACAGATTCAGAGAGTAAGGTTGAAGGAGCTGATAAATTGTAAAACATATTGAAAGCGATTTGAGAAAGTTCATTTAAAGAATATTTGAGTCGCCTTCCTTGTATGTTGGGTAAATTAGGTAGCAAGTCAACTTGAAAGATTCTATCCGTTTGGATTCTGAAAGTACAATTATTATTTTGAGCGTTAACCGCAAAATTCACACATCTAGTACATTTGATAAGGGAAATACTAAGATCATTATTTTTTGTGGTGATGTAGTGAAAATAAATAAACCATCCAGGACTTGAAATCTTGTCAAAAATGTGACCGAAGGAAACGGTATTCAAAATTGGGTTCCAGGAGGCAATGGACTCTTTTCTTTGATTGATAGGGATAGAGGTGACAGCTAAATGTTTATAAATAGGTAAAGGATGATCTAATCTATATTCTAATTTAAGTAATTTATTGCTATGATTATCTAAGACTAATTCTTCTAAGTCAATAAAAAATCTAGAATTACTTATACGCAAAGTATGATGATCAAAATTCCTAAGAAATAAATCAGATTTTTCTATTAGAGAATGGCCTGTAGTTTTGGTAAGTTGATCTAAATAAATAAGATTATGTTGACGAAGAAAGTTAGAATACATAGAAATCAAACTGACAGAGAAAATATTGGTTAGGAAAAATTGCCTTCCTTTAATACAAATGATTAGAGTAGGAGACAGTATAAAGGATAAATGTGAAGATGATGATTTAATTAAACTTAAGGAAGCACTAATAAGATTATGATGAGATTGTCAATTAAAGGGCTGAGTTCAGAAATTTAGAGGAGAAGTCAGAAGAGAACATTGTGATTGTAATTGAAATAAACAGATAGTAAAAATGTGCTTGTAAAGTGA